CAAAGCGTGGCGTTTCGGCTATCGCTCACACAAAGGTAATCGCGTCTCCATCGCTCGCTCGGGTCTCGTGCCACGCGCTCTCGTGTACGTACATACATACATAGGCGTGCGCTCATGTGTGCCGATGTGTGCCGAGGCCCGAGAGGCCCGAGAGTCGTCGAGACGATGGTGACGAAGGAGAACAAGGGGGAGGGGAAGAAAGAGAGAGAGAGACAGAGAAAGCACTCATGGACTAGGTGGACAAGAGTGAGAGTACACATCGACGGTAAAGGGTGAAACGTGTTTGTGGCACATTAGTGTAGGTAGGTAGTAGGCTCTTTCGTGACGTCACGCATTCCACCAGCTGGTCAGGAGACGCCGGCGTCACTCGCCTTGTTGCCATGCCCGTCTTTCTTCGACGATGTAAAGCACCGAGGGATGCAAGGGGAAAGCCCCGAATTTTCAGGGGACACTTTAGGACACCATCTCTCGAGATCCTTGTACTATCAACCGGCTACAAAACAGGATACTGTATACAGGTTCCTCGTCGACGCGACATCTTATAGATCGTAATAGAGAAAGGGTTGTGAGATAAGTACAAGAAAATTGTGTCAAATCGAGTGCTTAGATGTCTGCCGCGATATCCAACATCTCAACATGTTTATATATTTTATAAAAAGAACATGACATTCTTTACCGAAAGACGTGTATCAATTTAGCTCTTGTTAGCAACGTACAATCAACTAGACTCGGTTTTGCCTAAAGAGTAAAAGTTTGATCAAGGAATGAGTAGATAGTGTTACAAAGTTGAGACATAGAAAAGGAGAATTGGTTGTGCGTATGAAATGTAATTCCGCCCTAAAACTATCCGTCTTGAAGTTGTAGTTTTGCCTGGCATTCAGTAGGTAAAAGAGATTGCGGAAGCCCACGAGTAGCTTTTTTTATCGACCTGTCTTAACTTTCATGGAGTTAACTAACTCTGGTTAGCGAGAGAGACTACCTGTCTGTTTCTGGGTCATAGTCGGGAAGCTATACATAGATAATGCAGGTCGGGAAACAAAGATTGGTTTAACCATTGGCGGTTGTGTCGAGTCTTATCGACATTTAAAATCAATTATCCAAGTTCACCGAAGGTCTGTATTAACCCTAAACAAGTTCTCTCTATGGGGCGACATATTGAGCACTGGTGTCTCTCTAAGGTTTCCCACCGTCATAGCTTTTGTGTGCAAATACAATGGAATATAGCTCGTTTTAAGGATGAAGCTGTAAGGATTCGAGGCGAGGGATCCCTAAACCGGGAATCAAACCCTAGGTCTTTCGTTGGTCACTTTTCGACACAGCTAGGCAGACTTTACCTACGGTTTAATACTTTCTCGTCTATTTATCCGCTACGAATCAGTTTGTCTGTTTTTTTTGTAAAGACTATCTTTTTAATTATATTTTAATAAACACTACGAAACATTTTTACTTTTCGCAAAATCGTGTTTCAAAGTTAGAAGTCACATCTTTCCCAAAACGACATCGATTCAGTGACTTGGAAGCGATTGAAAACATCATAAACCGAATACGTCCTCTATTTTCGGCCAAGTGTTAAACGGGTTCTTTGTCCCGCGTAGCAATAGCATAACCATGAGCGTTTTATTCAATTCCATCGACTGGCGGCGCGTGTCATTGCATTTCTACGAACGCGCGATAGTCATTCCGCGCCCATACATCCCACCGTGTTCATATAGTCGAATATCGGGGCCAGGCTATCTCGCGCAATCAGACCCATATCGATAGTCAGAGAGCGGCTCGGAGCTCGGAGTGGCGGCAGCGGCGGCGGCGGTGGTGGCGGCGGCGGCGGGACGGCACATGCTCGATTCGCGTACTATCCGCGCGACGTGCGTTTCAATCTTTATACGTGTGCGTGCGTGCGTACGTGCGTGTGTACGTACGCGCGCTTTTTCGTCTGCCCATCGGCATTCAAATCGATCGTACGGCAAATTACACGGGACTCGTATCTCTCGAGCTATTGTTGTCAGCATTGTCAGTGAATCTCGACAGATCTTCGAATTAATGATCGCCAATTACGGCATTTGCGGCCAATTACGCCGGTAATTGGCCGTAATGCTGATAACGCGTGCGCACAATTCTTTCACGCGTTTACGCTCGTAAGATAACCAGCGATGAGAAAAGAGCAACGAGTAGAGAATCGGATAAACCGTATATCGAACACGCGATATACGGTTTATTAATCCTCTCGGTGTTAAATAAATTTCCGTGGGACAAGTCGCACGTTAATTGCACCGTTATAGTTTTACATAGGTTTACTCATTTGGAAATTATTGTGCATTTGAAAACAATTTAATTTGGCTGGAATCATACATTTTTTATAGTAACGTCGTGCCGATGTTGCGAATATTAAAGACCATTGATGTCGAAAGTTAAAACGGATTAACGTTGTATATGAATGCTCTGGAGTAAAAGTCTCATACGTAAATCCTTTTATCCACTAGCGTGGAATCTATCTGGGCTTTAAACGCGATATCGCGTGATTAAGCAAAGTTTTGTGATGCCGAAACACGCAAATTATGTCGAAATATATTTTCAAATACCGTGCCTTTCTCGCGAGATAATATTGTACCTTAGCTAATATCGTCTTCCAAATTCATGTGATTTTTCGAGAAATACCTTTCTTTAATGACAAGGAGTAATTTGAAAATGGCATTTGAATTTACATTAAGATAAAACGTTGCACTCATAAACAGTAATTACACTTGACTTTAAACCTTATTAAAAAAAGATTAAAGAACACGTCTGCAGACACGCTCTATTAATTTTAATGCTTTGTGCGTACAAGTATGTACACCCTAGTGTAGGAATCACCGATGCCTTACCATGTGAATTCAGACTCGTGTAGAGCACATATACATTTGCCAAGTATATGCAAAATGTATAAATGTGTTGATATGCGCACAAATTCATGTGGGAAGACATCACAGTGAAGTGAAAAGCCCGGAGATTTTTTAAAGAAATGATTCTATCGATTATCACATGTCCCTTTTTCTAAAAGAAGAACCTGAATATGTGACGTAATATGGATTAACAATCTCAACAACTCTAATAAGTTACTCGCGAGAAGTTGAAGTTTTATGTAGGCAAACTCTAATAAGTAGGATATAAACTCTTATTATAGTTAGCCGGTTGGTAATTCGTTGATGCTTGTGCTTCCAACTCTTGTACCATTATATTTTCCTTTTTAACCTTTAGGCTTGATATTACGTAATTATCGCATAAATTTGCTGTTTAATTAAATTTATGTTTACTTATATTAAATATTGGTTGTTAGCTTCGTTATCGGCTCCACTGATAAATTATATAATAGAAACTACACACTCGCGTGAGAGCGATAAAGGTACTATCTCTGTATAAAAATTCCTTAAGAATTTCGTATTAGCTCCATCAAGATTGTCAAGCATATCGTGACAAAAGCGTGAGCGTAGCCGCACGTTACAATTAATTAAATCATGCATTCATTAAATTATAGTTACATGCGAGCGTGTGCGCGCGTGTCCTTCGTTGACCTCCTTTACGACAGTGCTTACAATTCCGCGATACAAATGATTCTTTGCTCCAACGCTCTCGCACACAATAGACTCTTATTACAATATGTCATAAACATCTTGGATCTTTCATCATTATCGAGCGAGAATAAGTTGGCAAATGAATTTCGACCATCTTTGCAATTTAGCTGCTTGCAATATTACAACGCTATCCATTTTTCTCCATTCTATCTCGATTCCACAACCATTTCCGCCAGGATTAAAAGGGGAATTCGATCGAGGCATGTGTCATAATTTATAACGTTAGGCGCATACACGCCGTCACGAGGAACGAAGAAGCACGGACGAGGTGTTGGCGATGACGCTAACGAACAACCAATTTCCGCCAAGATGCATGTCATCGCGTCAACAGCAGACGTATAACACAGTTGACGTAACCGTCGTAGGGTTCTTGGTAATTATTCTGATGCGCTTATGCCTATTCGCGCCAATCTAGTCGCGAGTCTCTGATACGTAAGCTGCGACTCGTAAAACCCGAAAAGCGTACTTTGAATACACTTCGGGCTTCACGGGACTGTTTGGATCGGTGCCACGCGCACCGCGAGAGTGCCTTTATGTTCGCTTGGCTTGTCACGCGACTCGATGACGACTGCTTCCAATTATTGCCTTTAAGCGTTTCATTCTCATCCGTTACACATCTGGATTCTTTTTAACGGCTCGCTTCATTCAACAATCCTAAGCCCTCGATATGTAATTTCACGAAAAAGCTGCTCTTGGATTTACGACAAGTTAGTTTACCGATGATTACAAAAGAAAAAACCGGAAAATACATTGCAAATGAGTACAAAGTGCAGAAAGAACGCCATATTACTCTTGCTCTATCGAACACGGTACACTGTACAGTGCCGCGTGCCGCTGCTCGAGAGGAGGAGGAGTTAAGACGCGCTAATCCCCGATGTCGCGGCTAACGGGACATTGCTATAGACAGAACGAGTACCGCGCACAACGCGGCGTGGCGCGGACAGGCAGGCAGGCAGGCAGGCAGGTAGGCAGGTAGGCAGGCAGGCAGGCAGGCAGGCAGGTAGGCAAGAGTCGTCCTATCGCGTGCCGCGCGTGGCTCTACTCGCGGAAGGTCAGTGACAGAAAAGCGGGCGTCGCGTCGCGTCGCGTCGCGTCGCGTCGCGTCGCGGGATTCTCCCAAAACAAAGAGTCATCGGCCTTTATGCGGAATCTCCGCGCCGCGCCTCCGCCCACGGGTTATTCGTACGAGTCGGTTCCGCGGGGGTGGTTCGCCCCCTTCCGACACAGCCGCGCATTCCAGGGGTAAATGCGCCGAAGCGCGTGCGCCTCGCGAGCGACGCGAGGCGCTGCGGCGTGGCCGCTCCAAGTCGCGGAGCGCGTCGTAGCGGTTGCTGCTATTTTTGTCGACGGATTCACCGCGGAATGAGATCAGTGCGCTAAATTTATGACGCGCGCGAGAGCGAACGAGCGAACATCCTCCACTCCATGCATGTCCTAAAGCGCCGCTACGTTAGCGCTCACTGAGCCCGCGCGCTTTAGTACGTCGTTAAATAGCTGCCCTGCCAAGTAGTCGTCCAGGACTGTATTATTAATTGCCGTGTCTCTCCAGGTACAATCTTTTAGACGCGTGTAATTGGGCGAGCATACATATTTCAATCATTATTGCTCCGTTTCTTACTGTAGATTCCTCGAAAGACGCTGTTCGAGCATTTTCCGAGAAGACACGTTTCCGCTTCGCGCCAAATTCTACGTTTCGACCAGGCACCGTTCTATTCGCGCTAGCGTCACAAGTTCGAGGTAAAAGACGAGGTGTGTGGTATTCCGAGTATACCTTTCTCATCTTTATACTTACGAGGCGACTCGCGAAACGCAGTTTTCCTCACGCTTGCAACTGACGAAATGAGCTTGATAATTACGTCTCGGTATATATCCGTGTGTTTGAAAAACACATATCGCGCAATGCAAAGGCCGCGCGATAACTACGCGTCATTGCTCGTTACGCACGAATATGCGGCGACTCCAAGGATAGGCATTCCGAGTCAGATATAAAAACGTAGCAACCCCCCGTCGGTTAGTGTATCATCGGAGATACATTTTTTATTCACACACACATTCGTCGTTGCAGCGCGAGTAAATTAAAATAAAACTGAAATTTTTACTTTGAGTAATTACTCTAAATATTTGTATTCGCGAGTTTAAAACATTATTTTACAAATTAATAAAACTCGTATGGCTGAAATGTGATAAACACGAAGGAGTAAAGGACTGAGAGCCGTGACAGCGTCTAAATATTTTGTATTTTTTATGTAGTTTTAAGTTATTTTTCAATTGCGCGAAAGTGATTTCCGCGACTCATTGTTTTCTCGATTGCGTAGAAAAGTGTCTCTTTTTACGATGGATGTGGCTCCGCGAATGCCACGCATCGTCAACATCAGCCGCACGTTATATCGCAGAAAGTACTAGAAAATTATGTTAGCGTATATTAGCAAAAAAATAATAATTTCCGTCGATAAAGATAGCTATATATAGGAGCAGCATAAACCTTGTCAATGTACGATGCTAATGATGCGAAAACATTTCAAGAGAATGTTAATTTGAAAAGGCTATTAAAAAATGTCGTCCAAGTTAGTCAATTGAGATATTACCAATATAGCGTTTAATTTACAAGATTTACAAGACGCGCACGAGCGACTTTTACAAATCGAGTTATCACTTTAAAAGGTTCGTAGCCGAGACTGCCATTATCGTAATCTTATCGGCAACAACATTCGCCACCGTGCGCAGGATATATATATGCATATTCCTCGGTCGTGCGTCCGAGATATCGCATACACGTCATATGCGAGCACGAATCCTTCGTACGTGCAGCAGTTTCGTGTCACGCGACTGACGCATCAAGAGCCTATATCCGTGAGATAAAGGCCACGATTTTGCATAAGGACGCGACGTAAATGCCTCGACGAGTGAGACACCCGGTATGCCATATTTTGCCGCCTAACTTGCGCCGGACATTTCGTTCATTGTTCGAAACAGTTTGCGGGTTTTGATTGCGAATAGTTGAGTTGAGCTATAGATAGTTTATCGACGAAAGATGGATGGATTATAGCTGGCAAATAATGTTTGCTGCGCGCGAGATTTCACACACATACGCACACAGACACCTCTGATTACCGAATTTCGGGATTTTTGCGATAACGCAAGCGTTACAGTCTTGGTCGTACCAGTGAAATCGAGCACCACTGGCTTATACCGACTGTTTAGAGTGTCGGAAGAAGTCACGTCTGTGTCAGTAAATTCGCGCTGCTCGGCAAATATTGTTACACGAGCCCCACTTGTTATAATATCCGCTACGTGTGCGAGTAGTCCAAGCTTTCGTACCACCATTTCGCACAAACTTATTTATAAATGATCGGAATCTTTACGGAGAATATTTATGCTCTCGCATCTTATACTTGTAAAATTTCGTTTCACCAAGTTATGTGCAAACGCTGCATCTCTCAGATGTGTATTTGCAACAAACGCGCGTTACGGAGATGCTGTACGATAAAACAAATTACGGAACACCCTTTTATCGATCACGATGGAGTCTCCGGGCATAGGTACTCTTGTGCCGAGCTACCGATTAGCGGAGACGCCACTCATCTTTCTTCATACCGTTTCGTTACGCACTTTTCACGGACGAATGTGGTTTTTAATCAGTTGCTACGCAACTCGCGCCGGTTGACACTCTGTGAGCAAGTGTAACTTTGTTCCCTTTTTTTTCGTCCAAGTTCTCCCGCAATATCGTAATTTGAAAAATAATTTAAAAAGTTGAATGCAAAAAGCCCACAAGTGTGCTCGCGAGTAGGTTTTACGAGAAATCAATCTTGCAAAAAATCACAGGCATTTCGCGTTCAAATAAATTTGACATGACCACAGTATATTTCGATGCCTGGTAATGTTACATGCGAGATTATTTTCAATTAATCGTTAAAGCGTAAGAAAAATTCGACTCTAGTATTGGCGACGTACATTAAAACAACATGCATGCAAAAGATGTCGATGGAGAAGGAGCAAACAGCTTCCAAGTTCAGTGTCAATCGTAAACGTGATGATGTCATCGTTAGAACGATCGCTGTTACTAATACCTTGTCCATAGTTTTATTGCAGGAATGTTTCGCAGAATCGTTCTTGCAACTAAAGAATTCACGCCCTTTCGATATTTAATACGAAAGGCTCGAGTTTGGTAAGTCGAGCCGTACTTTTGATGGATTCGTGCCAGATAATCCAATGCTGGCGATTCAGCTTGAGAGTGAGAGTAAGCGTGAGTGAGTGAGTGAATGAACGAGTACGAGGGAGCAAGAGAGAGGGAAGGGAGAGAGTCCAGAACAATGGTTGCCAAATATTTTGTGATTATGTTACGTCATCAGTGGCAAAAGCAATCTTTTCGTTGCTTGTATCGTTGAAACCCGCACACTGGCATAAATATTAAGCGATCTCTCTAAAATCGCTCCAGTTTTGGTAGTATTGGATATGAAAGTGGCAATTATTAAAATGACGTAAACCACAAATGGCAAGGAGAGAAAAAAAAGTAAAAAAGATGATAAAATTACTATACAACGAGATTTATGTTTCATACTGATTTATTCCGTTTTGCGGCGAATATATAAAATCATTTATAATGTACTTGTACTCTCTGAGAAACGCGTGCGTACGAGCGAGGGAGAGAGAGAGAGATAGAGAGAGGGGGGGAGATTATTCGCTCTGTCCGTTGTTCGCTCATTAAAATGCGCTATCCGCGATCGAGTATACGTATATCGATCACAAGTCAACGGGTTCATAAAAATTCATTCGATTCCGGAATAAAAATGCGTCTCGCGAGTTTCGTTAAAGTTTAAATAGGATGCGCTTCCTCATTTTGACGCTAGTACAAAACTATCAAGCTATGAAACTACAATGAGGCGTTTGGCGATGTTTAGCAAGAGGCGCACATTCTTGGAAATGTATTAGGGTAAAGTAAAAATATAAAGGTTTACTCCGATTATAATGATAATAAGAACGTTGTTCGAAAGCTCGGTGTCTTGGTTATATCGAATACGCGCGATCTTCTCGTTGGGCTAGTTTAGCCATGCGAGGCGCACGCAACATCGATATTGGCCGTGTTCCAAACTCGTAAGAATCGCCTTGACGACAAGACTTTCTAGAACTCGTGATGGCCGGCGATTAATTTGCATTCCAGCTTTACGCGAATATCGGTATGCTAGCGGTCGCTCCCGGCAAAAGTGACACGCGCGATCGGAGGAGCGATGCGAAATTCCGTCGCATCGCTACGGCGATGCAGGCCACCGCGCCAGCCTATAAATAATTCCTAATCCGGTGATCGATCGTCTTTTCCTCTCGCGAGGCGCTCCGCCGAGCAAACGATCGACGGGGTTAGCCCTTGGTTTTTATCCTACCAACGGAATCGGAGGATTAAGCCGCCATATGCGTGTCTTTTGACCCTTCGACGAACGTGTTTAAACCATTTTAATTACTCCGAGGCAGCTTTCGTGGGCTAGGATATTCAAATACATAACAAAAATTAGAGAACGATAGTTGTAACGGTGGTTGAAACAGCGAAGGTTTCCGAATTGTTTCGGCGAGCGACATTGAGCGGAAGGAAGAAAACCGCGACGCTTCTAGGTTAAAGACTACTTCGAGCGGCCCACTTTCTTTACTTTCACACCGCGCCGCGCCGTTCTTCTTTCATAGCGTTTGCCGGCCGGAGGCTTCGTCGGCTGACTTGACGGCATGAAAACTGTGAGAAAGGCTCCTTGTACGTTACTGCTGGCCGCTTAATCTACTAATTTAGAATTGTGATACACTCTTGACGAAAATATCCCTCGCTAACAAGGCTAAAGCATACACTTTTTTCACTCGAGGCTTTAACTGGATCGAACAACGAATCGAACAATTTCTAACGGGTCTCCATTTCCTCGACCGCGTCTCAAGGTAGAATCCGCAAACGAGAACGGATGCGCGTATGTTTCGCATTAATCAGAGAACACGCGTCCTTTCTTAACGTAAATTCGCGGCGACGCGACGCGACGCGCTTTGTCGTGCTATTTTCCCATTCACGAAAAAGTACAATTGGTATTGAATATTCGAGCGCTCGAGTTATGCGCACGCAAAGTAGTATCGATCATTACATTGCACATAATACCTTTATGTAAAATAATAACTGAAAGCGCAATCGTCACTTACGAAGCAACAATTAAAGTGTACGTTTGCAAGTTGAATGAATCATGGCTCACTCAGTCGACATTTGGATGAAAATGTGTTAAAGCGCTGGTGCGCGTCTGATTGTTTATTCTGCTTTTTAACCGCTTTCGATGTTTCTTTGTATTAGGAAAAGTTTCAATGTGCCCGCAAAGAGTAGCGAGTGGCGTAGCAAAGTACTTGGCATAATCTCGCTTCAAGATGGCTACGCCCTGACCAAGTTGCCTCAACTTTCAGGCGATAGTGTACATCGGCCGACGATCGATGCCGGATGCCATTTTCGAATTCGAATTCCGGCCGCGGACGCGCGCCAATATCGGAGAAACACGCTCGAACCTCCAATTATCCCAAGTACACCGGAGTCCTAGTCCCCGTAAGTTACATTATATGCAAGAGTACGCAAATAACTGCGAGGTGGGATTTTAAAAGGGAGGCCAACGTGCGTTCGCCGATGCGTATAAAGGCGATATCTCACGCGCGAGCTCGAGCTCGAGCACCGGAAGCGTGTCTACGCTCTACGCGCGACTGTCCCTTCTCCCATCCCCGTGCAGCGAAATAGACTATAATGGAACAAAGTCGTGCGATTTTGCTCGGGGAAAAAAATATGTATTCCATCATTTAACATCGAAAGAGAGTAATCGAGCAATCACGTGTGCATTGTAACGTAAAGTTTGATTACGGAAAGTTGTATTACTTTGTAAATTAAACGATCCTAAAAAAAGTTTCTTTAATGTAGCGCGCATAGTTACTTCCCCCGCCCCGGCGCGGCGCAACGCAATCTGACCCCGTTGTACGATATCGAAAAAAAGTTTTTCATCTCGGGGATTCCTGCATTATTCGTGCGCGCGACAGAGGAAGAGATCGGCAGGCCTCTCATCGGACCATGTAATTAATACACAACTATATATGTATAGATGAAGAACGTTGAAATACGAAACGTGTCACGTGTTAGTATTATTTTTTTTTACAGCGTTTACCGTCAACGATTGTATTGGACCAAGTAATGAATTTCCATCGGAAAAAATATCGGAAGTGACTGGATGCATCGCGTCGTGAAACGTTAACATTGTTTTATATCTCGAGATAAATTCTTTGAAATGTAATGAATGGAAATTCACTATCAAGGTACAATTGTCGACGGAAAAGTTTGGAAATCGATGACTGATGTGTATCGCGACAATTTCTTGCGCTTAACAGGAAACGTTATCGCATCCGTATCGAACAAAGGGTCGCAATATAAAGAGCTGATTATATTCTCATTCTCACTCCCTGCTGATCATTTTCTGGTAAAGATATCTTTACGTCGTAAAAAGTATCGTGAAATTATTTAAAAAAATGACTGATTGAAAGGAAAAACCCTGTATCCCTGACTTTCGATGAAAAGTTAGGAATTGGCGACATCCGTGCACAAAGCGCTTTCGTATAGTACGACAGCTACGTTTTAAGTGATTCGAGTCTTTAATGATAACATAAAAATTAAAACGTTTAACCGGATAACCGATGTAGCGATACTCGTGGCAATGTTAATACATTTTGTATATCTTGCAATATACTCCAAGAATCTAGTACTCGATCTTTTTGCTCCGTGGCTGAGGTCCCTCTCCGTTGTATATTATATTTTTGTATTTCTTATGATAATCTTTTCAAGATAGGAATTAGTCACTGTCGAGTTATTAATTGCGGCGAAAGATATCAAGACGTTGCTACGTTCGCACTGTCCTTGAATGTAAGCGGACATTATACCGCGTAGCACTGAGAAGAATGAGGTACTCTTCAACGACCCATTTTCTACAAATGTAAACAACATCTGTAACTTTTGAAAAGTTTAGAGAAATCTTGTTCATAAGTACTTTCTTACTATTTTTTAAGAGTTAATTTGTATACCTATTTCAATCCACCAAAAGGTGCTCCACTGTATTATCGGAGACAAAGATTAAAACTGGGGCGTGTATATGTTTTTGTAATGCTTGGCCATTGCTATCCGCTATCGAACATTTCACGCGAGTAAGTTCGGTCGGCAACTCCGCCTTGTGTACCGAATGGCAGAGAGTTAACTTGAACAGCAAACACGATAATAACTGGATACCTTGACGCGGCTGTACTCGCCCGCGTCGAGAATCGACGCGTGCGTCGCGTCGCGTCACGTCGCGTGTCCCACGATAAGATCGGTAGTAATGCGCTGACGGGTCTCGCTATCTTTGGCGGACATTCGCCGTATCTTCGATTCTACACGGCCATTAAAGCGCATAACGAAATTTAATTCTGTAGTTTACAGAAATTCTTCGTAAATGAAGAAAAGTAACAAATTAATAAAATTCGTATGGCTGAATCGTGATAAAGACAAACTTGAAGGAATAAAGGACTAAGAGCCGTAACAGGATGTTGGCGAGACTAATGTCCAGTGGGCATTCTTTTATCTTATTTTATCTTAATAATGCCCCAGCAAGGCCTAGTGCCCTCAAAGGTTTCTCCCTCGATTTAGACACTACCATCCTGTCACGGCTCTTATATTGAATACCTGTAGGAAAGGATTTTTCTCATAGAGCTAAATATCCTAGCCGCACGGGGTTTTTCTACATGCACAATGCTGAAAATGCAATTGGACGAGAGAGGCGTGTCGTCATAAATTATACTTTTTGGTGCAATCAATAGCAGCGTGACACACGTTTCAAAAAGATATATTTCTTCCTCCCCCTCTATGTCTCAGAGTTTATCCAAGATTTACAAAACGTATTGGACAAGTATGTGAAAATATCTCACGCGCCGGAGAAGGAAGCGTATCGCATTTAAGATCTTCTGACTCGCGTTTCGCATCCCGATCGACCTTATTATCGGCGGCTTATCGCTATCAGAAGCGAGGGAAGAGGAGAAACGTATGAATTTATATATATATGTATACGAAAGATCGTGCGGTTCGCGGGCTACGGGCATAAGGCGATATAGCTCGGAAATCGATAGCGGGCTGTGCAATTCACTTAATGGCATCCCCTAAGCAGCAGACCCACTGGACGTGATAAATCGCGAAGGTTGCCGGACTATTTAGATACCTAAGCTCTCTGTGTGTGTGTTGCGTGCAGAGGGGCGCGGGAAATGCCATTTCAACTGGCGATATCCAATACCGAAGGAACAAGATGTAATAAACCTCGCACCTTTATGTTAATCGCGAGCGAAAAGAAACGCGAAACTTGGTGCGCAAAAGACCGGCCTCAATCTGCGATACTGCAACAGCTGCGTATCGATATATTTTGAGAATTAGTTTGGTTTAAAGATAATTCACGTTAATTTGCAGAGAATGACATTTTGTTTAGGGGGAAATTTCACGTTTGAAAAGAAGCTCGAACGACGCAACGTCACTAGCGTCGACGATGAAAAATCAATTTCAGGTTAACACTCGTACATACGTAGAAATGGTTTAGATTATCCCGACATGTATGCAAATGAGCAATTAAATTAGCAAAGAGAAAGATATTTCGTAGGTGAAAGACGCGAGTTGGCACACGTGAAATATTGACAAAATTTAGCAAAAGAAGCAAGTTTCGAACGTACGTTCGATCGAGAGAGCGGGTTTCCCGCGTATAGCAGGCCGCGCGCGTGCGACAAAATAAATAGCTGCGCGGATCGAGGTTTCTCGACGGACTGTCAAAGAACCTGACCAGCCGCGCCCTTATTCGAGTTACGCTCGTTGGCACGCAAAAACCGCGTGTTTCGCCGCGTCGCAGCGTTTAAATATCGAGGCCGATATCTTGCCCAGCGTTTGCGCTCGGCGGGTCAAAGGCGACGCAAAAGCGAAGCTGATACTCTCGCGCTGAGAATCTCGCCGAGTTAAATTCCACCAAATCACTCGTCGTCGCGAAGCTTGGCCTTGTCTGTATTGCGAAATTAAAACAAGTTGGTTGATAGAATCGATTTCTCTTTATCGGTAAGGCGAAGGGTCAACGGGCAGGTAGTGTTTCACCGCAACGCTCAATATCTTGGGTAGGCGATACAAAGTTTCTAACAATCGAGCCTGCGAAAATGTGGCATCTTCATCAACTTTAAAGCCTCCAAGGATGATTGGCTGAAAATACACAACTATTATCGTTCCGTTTATTTGCGTAATCTTTGGATATATTTATAGCTATGTATTTGCAGTTGCGTTGGGCACGACACACCGTGCGAAAGCGTTCTCTCGATTCGATCGAAAACTTGGCCGGATATTATTTCCGGGATTCATCGCTCGATCTCGTCAGATTGCGGATCGCGGGAATGCAACATTTACGTCGATCAATATTAATAAATAACGCTTTACGCCGTATTGTCGGCTCGAGGATTAATAATCGTCCAAGCGCCGATCTCCCGGGGATCCCCGTCGGCGAGAGTGTGCGGAATTCCCGATCATGTGGCAGCTCGCCTCGCCTTCCAGAGTGACGTCAAAGACCGCGCGTCATCTTCTTATCGTATCGCCGCGTCATATCGACGATATCGGTCGTCGCGAATGTTCGGGATAAGAAAGCTTGAAAATGATCCCTCTAGTTTGTTCGCGGCGCAACAAACCTACCCGGCGCCGTTTACAACATCCCGCGGATGATGGTTACAGCGAGGACGTCCCCCCTGACGCGCGAGTCAACGGGAGTAATGGAGGGGGGGCAACGCGCTCGGTGGCGGACGTGTGGCCGGAGGTTGCTCAACTTGACTTCTCGCTCTCATCGTGTGTGTGTGTGTGACGTCACTGAAAAATCACACTTTACCTCAAGCACCGAAACGAGTCGCTCCCGTTGCCGTCGTCGTCGTTTGCACGTAAGTCACAGCGCGGTGAGAGCTCGCCAACGTCAGCGAGAGATAACGCTATCGAGTCGCAGAGAGAGAGACGCTTGGGTAGGCGCTTCCACCACGGTCTGGCAGTGGCACGTTGTCGTTCTTTGTTCTTCCTTCCTGCTCGCGCGCGACTCCTCTCGGCGCGTTTCTCTCCCGTATGCCTCTTCTCCTTTTCGCGAGTTAGCCAAGCACGTTACAGGTAACGGAATGAATTCGGAGCACTCTTACACAACTCGCTCCTAATACACGTATATACGTTATCTTTATTATGTGTGACAGGTACGCGCACTGTGTAATACTGTGTATCGGCGCGACGACGTCAGATGCGCTACCGTTAACCAGCGCTACCGCTACACGTGAACCACGCGGACACACGTACACACCCCCGCGTGCGCGCGCGCGCGCGCACGATTAATCACGCTCGTACGCCGACTTGTTCTCATAAGCACATGTATTTAAGTGTATACGCGTTGATCGGAAACTCGACGTATTCGCGTGCTTGCGTGAGAGAGAGAGAGAGAGAGAGGGGAGGGGGAGAGGGAGAGACTGTCTCGAGCTCCGTTATTCGGTATACGCGCACGCCAAACGTGGGATTTCACTCGGCTCGGTCGCGAGACGTCCACACGCAGACGAGACCCGAGCACGACTAAACGAGGAGCGAGGAGCGAGGACCGAGAGAGCCGACACCGGCCGAGGCCGAGCGCCGAGCGTGTGGCCCACGACGCGGAGATACCCGACCGAGCGTCGTACCGCTACGACACGAGTTCCGACTACGAGTCGTTTTCCCCTCCTTCTCCTTCCCGTCGTATTACCCGCGCGCGTACGGGGGCCATCTATACTTTCGTCTCCTCTCCTCCGCTACTACCTCCCTGCATACACCAACGCACTGTGTATACGGACACACGTCTCTACTTCTCGTCCTCCGAGTCCTCCGAGTCCTCCGAGTCCTCCCATCGGCTTTTAAAGCCGTACGCGTCCTTCGGTACGCGAGAAATATAACGCGATTTTTCCTCCAAGCACATTGCGACGAGGTCAACGATTCGTAAGAGAATCATTTTTATCTCGACCAATTACAATTTTACTACTTTTACGCCTACTTTCACTAATATACCTTTCAACATCGAACGTGCCGAACGGACCATGCGTGATGGTCGACCGAAACAGATCTACAATGAAATAAGATACACCAACCAGACCTTTCAATCCATCGGCTCGGGTTCGACGGGTCGTATCGATCAAAATCTTCAAACGATACGTAGGCCAATTTTATTACTTCTATTCTGTCAGATTTTCTGCTTGTGCTCAACAGCCAAGTACTTTTTTTTTGCCAGGAAAACCTCGCACAACAAGTATCACGGTAGAAATAAATCCCCTTTTAAACTGATTCTAAACTTAACTAATCCAATTTTTTTTTATCGATAACATTTATTATTGAAATCAGATTTGAAAGCTTTGCTCTCTCAAATAATTCATAATTATCACTTTACACGTGACAAATTGCTCAATATGTGTAGAATAATACTTGAATATTGGCCGTGAGATGGAAAAAGACGGCGCGTAAAATTGGAAGCGCACTCTTTTATTGACTTTCGAAAAGAATTTGTAAAGATTAATAGGAGGGGAGAGAGAGAGGGGGAGGGGGGGGGGGGACAAAGCGTATCTAGTACGCTTTCGACCTCCGCACGGTCGACGCTCCGGCGATTCAGAGTTACAGGATCCGATTGTTGCTTCGGAGTGGCGAGCATTCAAAGTGTATTCTGCATGTTTTGGAGGCTCAAAGAGGTTCCGCACATTTTCATGAAAATTACCTGTCGATTCCTCCGCAGCTACCTTACATATTGCACGAGCTTATCTACCTTTGATATATTCACGAGTATCATCTTTGCCAGCCGACTCGAAATTATTCATCGATATAAGCGCGACAGCGGCGCTAAGTATTTTACCTAACTCAATAACTCAACTTTTCCGCGAAACACGTTAAAGGACCCCGCACCATTCATAGGATTTGGCTAATTTTTTTATATTTTCTAGTTCTCATCATTTTGAACAAATGTCTCAATAGACAGAATGATCTAACCAACCGTTTTCGTGCTACAAGCTCCGAAAGGTCCAGATTTAACACGCAAAAGTATGATACACTCCCGTAGTATTTTTTCACTCCAAACCCACTTTCTGTGTGAGAGAGAGAAAGAGAATGTTGATCAATAATATTGTTATCATTTGGATTTTGCTGCAGTGGTCTTTGACCAGCAGCAAATCTAAAACGATGAAGCAGAAATGTGTCAG